GGCTTTCTGATCTATCACGCCAAGGTGCCAACAGTATCTCCAGAATGGTCAACCGGCACAGATCAGATTGTTTTTGGGAAATATTTTTTTTTTGAAAAAGCTTTTCATGGGAATTTTGTATTTTTGGCATTGTTGATCTAATATTTCAAAGAAGCGAGGTAAGTATTTTATTGTTTATTTTATGTTATTTGTTTAAATTTTTGTGTCACAGTAGAAAGCAAGGTTTACCGATAAAGTTATGTTCTCACAGAACGAAAATACCAATGGGAGGTTTTGATATTTTTAAGCTAATCCGATAAAGTGCACAAGGGGAGAGGCTGCACAGGATCTCCTCTTTGTTGTCCATAGCTTCCCTTCAAAAAGAAAAACAGCAACAAAAACTTGTGGCAACATGATGGTTGACACATATTATTATATTCCATTTCAGTTCAGCAAGAACATAACAATAAGAACATAGAAAAAGACTGACAGGGAGTTCTGACTTGATTCCATGAAACAGGCTAGTTGATGTGATTGACAATAACATGTCCTATCCAGATAGGAAAAAATGGAGTAAAGAAATCCAGTGTTGGTAAACGGGTTGAACTACACACAACAAAAAAAGTTTTGCACCACCCTGTCATGTTACTACAGAAAACTCATCAACAAATAAAAATATTGTTATCTTCAACTATGGAATGTGACCAGTACATTTACTAAAAAAGGTTTAGGAATCTGGAATTGTTTACTATTTTTTAATTGGCCATTTCTTAATTTAGATATCACTGAATATATAAAATGAGATGGTGCAAAACTTTTTTTGTTGTGTATATGTCAGACAAGTCCAAGAGAAAGGTCTCGAAAATGTTATGTTACACCAAATTTTATAACGTCATAAGTATTTTCTATGCAGATGAAAAACGCTTAAGAGAAAATATATCCACTGAAGTGTTCCTCTATATTTTACGGTCTGAAGCCAAACGCAACAAGGAGATTAGTTTATGAATATGCTCAAAAGATTTCTAGAACTCATGCAAATTTATAATTTAGATGAGGTAATTTTTTTTTTTTTGAACCACTTATGTTATTTTAAATTCTTTTTTGTAGACTGGTGTGACGACGGTACAACGAATTCCTGAAATGTTTGGAAAGCCACTTCTCGTGAAAGATGTGAATTGATTACGCAAGTAGGAATAATCTCTTCCAGCGGAACAGCGTTGTCGCCAATTTGAGCATTTCCGTTTCCCCGCATACGCTATGACGCCAAGAGAATGATGCAAGGTGTTTCGGGATGTGGTGCTCTGGGATTTGCTTGTGATATGTTAACAAGATTGGGTTAGAACCGCTGCACCAACAAACAAAAAAATCTGGTTCCAGATGCACTGAAATAATGCCATTTTATCGAAACATCTTCAAAGAAGAAGACTTTTTCTCCTCTCACGTAATGGATCAACCGGCTCCCACCATCTATAATAATTATTCATATCCAGAGCCGCAACTAACTATCCACATCAAAAAGGCAACCTAGAGCCACAGCCATCAACATCAAAAAACTATCCTGTGCCATAGATGGTAGATGCATGATTGCCACTGACACTCCCGAAGACAGCGATTAGGGATATGGAGGAGGATCGAATTGAATGTAAAGATAATTTATCAGAAGATTAATTAATTTTCATCAACGACGAGAAAAATTTTGATTACAAAGAACTTCCAGAAACATGTTCTATAACGACAAAGTTTACGGTAAAAGTAGTGTTAGAAATTAGGCAGCGAAAATTATAAAAAGAGTTGATTGATATGAAGTGAACTTCTTAGAACGTCACGTTGTATCAAATAGATTCACAGTTCCTAAAGATGATTAAGCTTTGGTTCCTTTTTCCGGCATTACTTCTTCACTTCCATCTCCCATTAATGATAGAAGAAAGAGATTTAGAGACATGATTTATTTCAATTTAGATTTGACGTAATTTGGTTTGCAGTGATGATTTTTTTATTTCTGTTTTTATTTTTTTCTGTTCTTTAAATTTTAAAGAATTTCATTCAATTCAATTAGAATGTGGGAATCTATATCTTTTATCTGTTCTAGTTATTTTTCAAAATAATTACTTGGCGAAATATAATATTTTACCTTCACCTTGAAATAAACAATTTTTATTAAATGCACCATGTTTTTGCTCAGGTCCAAAATCTCCCCTATTTTGCTTCAATGTCTCCATTCTGATGGAGAGGTATTGGGCTCAAGCAAGGCAACATACAAGATTATTTTTAAAGAAAACGCTTTACAGAATTGGTTCTGTAATACATCATTTTAGTAACCTATAGTTGAGGTTATCTAACTGAAAATGTAGGCTTAAAGTATATTAACACTTTCTCAAAAAATGGCCTTATGTAAAAATTGTCGGGATCTTACCCACCCTCCCATGCCTTACAACCCTTTCAAAAAGATAAGGTTTTGTTACAATACGATCCTGCAAGGAAAGATATTTGGATAGAGAGGACCAGGAAAAAGAAGAATATCGTGACGGAAAAATCTCAGAACATTGTTTGATAAAAGCTCGCCACAACTCTTCCAATAGACCTATCTCCCATGATTAGAAAAAGGAAGCTTCATTGTAATAAATACAAGTTAGAAAACAATAAAAGATGAGATGCGCGCGCAACTCGTAGGCTGCAGTGTAGCCAGATTGTATTGTTGCAGAACAAATGTAGACAATACAAATCGAATATTATAACATTGAAGAAGTAATATAGTCTCAAGTGTTTCACAACGCCCTAAATCAGACAATAGAAGAGTTTTGAAGTGGATAAACATCGTTTGCACTTTTATTTTGATAAATGTTTCATCCGGCAACATCGCTCAATGAAATTGCAAAGGAATATGTCAAGTATAATCTAACATAACTTTAAACGAAACTGCGATGAGTTCAAGTAATATGTAAAGTATTAGTTTGCTCTTTGTCAAATTACACGTTACAAAGAAAGAAGGAACGATTCATTCTGAACTGGCCCCTGAATAAGAAAAGCCTCCTGAGACCCCAACTCAAAAAAAAAATAAATTGAAATTTTTTTTGAGGGTTTTGACTTGAAATGGGTACTAATAGAAACATAGGCAGTTAATTTTTCTAAATTTTTTTATTTTTGACAGTTTTTTGAAAAGTCCATTTTTTTGGACATGCGGATCATATACAGTCAATTTGATTTTTTATGAATCTTAAAAAAACAGTTATGGTCATAAGTTATACAGTAATATTGATTACATTTTTCGCACAAAAATTTTGTTTTCTCATTACATTGTGGGTATTTGCATCTTACTGAGTTTTTCAGATCACCTTTCAGAATTGGAAGGTGTTGTCTACTTCTGATACTGGCGTTGTTATTATTTGGTAAAGGTGACGATGAGGAAGCTGGAGGATCCTGTTGGAGTATTAAATCCCATTGGATTTTTTCTTGTGTGAATTGTGCTTCGTTCTAACATCTCATTATCAGAACCTTCCTCAGGTTCTGAGCTAAAAAGCCATTCAGAAACTTGAAGTTTAAAATCAAAAAACTTTAAGTGCTTTTTGTTTAACTTTCTGAGATCATTTCGGTACAGAATCCAGGAATTGGCAATTCCGACATCCACAAAATGAAAAATACTTTTAACAGTCCACTTATTCGTTCGTGCAGATATCCGATAATACGCAATCATTCTGTCAATGAGATCGATGCCACCTATGCATTCATTGTATTTGGACACCATGTAGGGCCTTCTCACTCTGATAAATTTTTTGTCAGATTTGGACCATCTCTTGCATTCATCTGCATCTATTGCATTCTGGTTGTTCTTGCAAAGTAGTTGATGCAAGAAGAACGGATTTCATGTCGTACCACTGAAGAATGTTAACTTTCCCATCAGATCTTTCAGTTTGCTCAGATGAACCCCTGCCCAGTCGTTTGAAAATATTTTCTTTTGTCAGGTGAACAGCCTGCGGAATTCTTGATTTCATGATTCTACCAGTTCCATGGATTTTTTTCTCTAATATGGTTTCTAGAAGAGGAATTGTGGTAAAGTACCTGTCCATGTAGACATGCGAACCCTGCGGTAGAGTCTGAACAAGCCTGATGACAGCTGAACCACCTACACCTAAATGATTTACGGAAGTATCCAGGAAAGTATTTTTACCTTGGTATACTTCAAAATCTAAAATCAAACCAGATGGTGTTGCACACACAAACTTTTTCAAGCCTTCAGGATTGGGCTTACCACGCACAAATTGTTTGACACCACATAACCCGGTGAATGGTATCATTTGTTCATCTATCGCGACTTCAGCTTCTCTTGGTAAGGTCAAACATGTATCTCGAACTTTCTTCATGATAGATCTAATTTTCCAAAGCTTATCTTTTTGGCGATAATCTTCTGAAATATCACCATCAAACCTTCAAATGGTTTCTAATAACAAAAAATCTATCTCTAGTCATTTTTGAGGATATAGCGTAAACTTTTGTTGTCTTTGCCCAATACATTCGTATTCTAGGATATTTTAAAAGTGACATCAGGATGCTTATTCCAAAAAAATGTTTAGTTTCCTTAACTGTTAAATGAAGAGGCTTTTGGTGTAGTAAGATGTATTTTACGTTTGTGGAGTGGAAGATTTGTTGAAAAATATTGTCATCGAAATACATGGCAAAATAATCAGACACCGAGAAATTTTGCCTTTCGTCACAGTTATCAGTATTCACTGGAATATCGAAATGTGTTCCAGAAAAAGCTCACAGTTTTTCCAGGTGTTATTTGATTTTTTGGATTTTTTCTTGCCATTTTTTCCTGCTAATTTAGCTTTGTACACGCTTGAAGGTAAATCATCATCCGATTCCCAATCGAGTTCTTCATTTCGTACGCCATCCCTAGATGTTTCTTCGGCTTCTTCTTCTAACATCAAAATATTTTCTTCTTGGTCTTCTTCTAAAGTATCCATATCTTCCTCTTGGTCTTCATCCAAATTCATTACATTATTTTCTTCATTCTCCGCTACATTCTATTCAAACTCATCATTTTCTTCGCCGTCTTCAAAGCCTTCTACGTCAGACGAATCAGCGTCCAATAATTGAAGTAGTACATCGTCATCAATGCCCGGCCGTAAATATTTTTTCTCACCAAATATTGCTGGAATTACAAAAAAAAAAATTCTTGAGAAAGTCCCCATGTTCACTTTATTGGACATAGCTAAATTTTAAATTGTCGAAAAATAGTCCTCAGGAATTCAGGGCGATTGATAAGAAATAAAGCTTACCCACAAACATTTATAGTGAAATATTTACTTAATAAACTATAACACATAGTAATTTCCCAAAAAACAGCAATAAAATATCTATAAACAATAAAAAAAACACTTCTTACCACCATACGTTGCTTTACGAAACGCCGCCATGATTGGAATAACAAATAACATGTGGTTATATCAGTATTTTCGAGCGCGCAGTGCTAGATTGCGTTAAAAACGGGTCCAATAGGATGAACATCAGGTTTCAAGGCGTATAATTTTGATAGGAACGGAATTAAAAATGCAAAACTGGATGTCCAATAAAATGGACGTTAGGTCTCGGGAGGATAGGACGCAAGCCTGTCATAAACTTGCTTCTCATTGGACGCTCACCTGCAGCCTACAAGCGACGCGCGCAGTCCAGGTAATAGGAGATCGGTCTATTAAATAATTTTACCATTTGAATTTACTCAGATATTTTACACATTTTGGCAACTCGGCTTTCTGTTTCATAACCCTGAAATTTGAAAAATATTTTGTCATCAAATGTCATTATTATACGAGGGTCAACCTGTCAAATTTCCATGGCACGCCACTACGCCAATAATAAGTGAAAAGCATATACCGGGTGGGCCAGCGAAAACGAAACAAGGTCGATATCTCATATTCATCGTTCATTAAAAAAAATCGCTCGGACCCGTCGATTTTTATTCGGAGGGGGAAATCTTTTGCACATATTTTCAATGTTGTCACTTCAACCCTCTCGCGGGGGTAAGCTCCAACCCTTAAATCTTAAATGGCAGTAGGGGTCAAGCGATACCTCATTTCAAAGGTCATCGAATTCTCTTTTCAACGGTGCCTAATTTTTTGAATTTGATGCAGTGGTTTTCGAGAAAACGCATTTGAAAATAGACGGAACTAGTACTGTTTAGTCATTTTAATCACTCAATAAAATTCAACTAAATACATTTCAATTTTAAAAAAAATTTGAAAAAAAAAACTTAATAAATTCAAAAAAATAGGCACCGTTGAAAAGAGAATTCGATGACCTTTGAAATGAGGTATCGCTTGACCCCTACTGCCATTTAAGATTTAAGGGTTGGAGCTTGCCCCCGCGAGGGAGTTGAAGTGACAACATTGAAAATATGTGCAAAAGATTTCCCCCTCCGAATAAAAGTCGACGTGTCCGAGCGATTTTTTTCAATGAACGGTGATTACGAGATATCGACCTTGTTTCGTTTTCGCTGGCCCACCCTGTATATTTGAATGCAGGAAACTATGAGCTATCAAATGCTGAAAAGTAAATTGATGTGAGCCTTATTTTGATTTGAAAATGTTGAAAATTGCCCTGTATTTCCTAAACGCATCAAGTCTTCGCCATTGTTCTTCTCTCAAAAAGAGCTCGAGAATGTGCTCTCAGATTTTTGATATCTTTGTTGGTTTTCGATATAGCCCATTAAAACATCGAAGATGAGCCACCCTGTACAATGCTGTACCTATACCAGAGTTAGGTACCTACTACCTACTTATGATGATGATGGCACTTGTGAAATTTTAATTCAAAAAATGAAAACAGAAAAACAATTATACTACCTACTTATCTAATATAAACCGTGACCGCCAAAAAGTTTGCAACAAATGGGAAAATATTTTATCATTAGGATATCAAAAAGAATGTTACGTGGGATAAATTCAGCATACCTATCAACAAAAAAAAGCACTGTGACAGATGTCATGTGACCACAGCTATGGCGGGAAATTTAAAAAGTTCGCCTAAAATATGTAAAAGTGGGGTTAGATGACCAGAAATCGAAAAATTGTAAAGAGAAAAGTGGTTCAGGATTCGATTTTACGTCTATATGTCAATTTCTGAGAAGGTACAAGCATTTTTAATAAATATCAATTTTTTGGTTTGTTTCCTGGTAATTTGAAGTATATCAAAAATTTTCCGGAAAAATAATGGTTTAATTGAATTTAGAAAAGAGGTATTGGCTCATTTACAAATATTTTATGATAAATCCAAATTTTTTATTTCAAATTTTTGTTTTCTGTAGGTCATTGCAACAAGATCAGAATGGTCTGAAAAGTATTTTTGGTTTTTTACAATTTTCCGCGGGACAATCGAGCAGAATGAATGCACTGAGTTTTTTTTCGGTTAATTTCAATTTAAATTATGTGAACCAAGCGAAAAGTTTTTGATATTTTTCAAATTATCAGAAAACAGGCCAAAAAATTGATATTTATTAAAAATCTTTGTATGTTTTTAAAAATTTAGACATAGGCGTAAAATCGAATCCTGAACCACTTTTCTCTCTACAATTTTTGGATTTCTGGTCATTTAACCCCACTTTTTACATATTTAACGCGAACTTTTTAAATTTCCTGCCATAACTGTGGTCACATGACATCTGTCACAGTGCTTTTTTTTGTTTATGGGTACGCTGAATCGATTCCACGTAACATTCTCTTTGATATCTTAATAATAAAATATTTTCCCATTTGTTGCAAACATTTTGGCGGTCACTGTATATTTAGATGACATTCTTACAATAAATTATAAATTTGCGATCCTCTTTTTATACAGTCTAAAAGCATCGTAAGGATCTTTACAATCAGTATCAAACCCATATCCCAAAAGCAATTCATTACACAAGTCCGAAACATCTTTGTCACAGTTTGTACCGTAAAAAAGACACTCACCATTCAAACAATTTAAAATTTCCTGGGGAACTGCAACTAATTTGTCTTCTGCGTCATACAAACTTGGTATTTGAAACATCATTATTGGTCTACAAACTGGCGTTCTAGAATTTTTTGTTCCCCTTATTGTGTGAGTATTCCACTCCAAAGCCACCTGATCCAGTTCAATCTAAAAAAATTAAAAAGCTAAGGAACTAGTTCTACAAGTATTAACTACATTCTAAAGTGATTGTTATAAGCAATGCTACTTAAACATGGATTGAAAACAATTCTCTACTTTATATTTTTCTCTAAAATAACCTGCAAATTTGTATCTTTGAGAAAACAACATGAATTTTAAATTTGTTTAATTGACGTGTCTCGCAGAAATAGAAATAGAGAACTTAATTGTAATAAATACAAGTTAGAAAGTAATGAAAAATGACATGCGCTCGCAACTCGTGGCTGCAGTGTAGTCAGATTGTATTATTGCAAAACAAATGTAGACAATACAAATCGAACATTATAACATTAAAGAAGTGATATATTGTCAAGTGTTTCACAACGCCTTAAATCAGATAATAGAAGAACTTTAAAGTGTATGTTAACATCGATGGCACTTTTATTTTGATAAATGTTTCATCCGGCAACATCGCACAATGAAAATATGTCAAGTATAATTTAACATAACCTTAAACGACACTAGGATAAGTTCAAGTAATATGTAAAGTATTAGTTTGCTCTTTGTCGAATTACACGTTACAAAGAAAGACGAAACGATTAATTCTGAACTCGTCCTTGAATACGAATATGACGCAAGCACGTAACAAACGGGATTTTCATTGGACACTCACCTGCAACCCACGAGTTGCGCGCGCACACCAGGTATTACGAGACACGTCAATTAGGTAGGTACTAGCTGACGTTACACATATAACCTCAATTACGTTAGATCTGCTGATGTCAGAAATAGCGAAACATGATAAGTACTAATAGAAAACACTTATACCATTTTGACGTTTGAAAATGACATTATTGAACACATAACAATAAAGGTAAGTAGACGTTTATCACCTCAGTGATTTAAAAAAAAAGTTAACTCACTCTCGGCATTTTAAGTCACTCTGCCCAACTAAAAATCCAACACCTCAGTGATTTAAAATATTATTAACTCACTCTCGGCATTTTTCTGTGGTACATACTTTTTTCTAAATTTCCACAAAATGCGATACCTACAATTTTATTTTGTATATATCACGTGAGTTATGATGTTTATTCATTTGAAGAAAATTAACCCACTTGCTGGGGCTCGTGGGTTCAACTTTCTTCTCATGGATAAACATTCATTTAACTCACTTGGTGTGTAAATCGCTATTAAATAAATGATAAATATGACTTTCTTTAACATTATTCACCGTTTACTTTTAACTTGGTTGGTCTATTGAAATGGACATATTATTCAATCATATACCTAACTATCATGTATTTCAGTTTTTGTTATATTTCGTTTTTTTTTTCCCCTATATCACCACACTGAGGAAATTGAATTCTTAAATTGTCTTACTGGAATTTTCTTCATTGCAGACAAAATATCTCTTATAACTGCCATAAATTATCTATCTATTACTGAATAACGTATTTTTATGGTTGCTAAAAATTCTTTGTTGAATTATCCTCATTATCAGCTATAGTTATCTATGAGCTCCTATAAAATACTTTACTCTTGTTAAAAATTTAATTTACTGATGTATTATATTCAAATTTCTTCATACGAATTTACTACAGTAGCTAGATACTTTAATATGGTTACTACACACGATCTTTAAAATTGATCTTCATAACCATCGATATACGTTTTTTAACAACTATTAGTTGATTTTCAGTCTTTAAAATGTGCGTTATAGCCATAATAAACTTAAGCGGGCTGTCATTGGCTTCGGCTATTCGCGAAACAACCAGAAGCGCGCCATAATGGTTTATTTTGTAATTTTTCTGTGCATTCCAATTATTGCTTTCGTGCAAGCATGTAGCATGATCCCGCTCATTTGTGATCAGGTGTTTGTGTCGTGTCGCGCCATTTTTTGCTGTAAGCGTTGATTAGTTAGTGCATTGCGTTGGTGAATTATTTAAATTATTTCGAATTATTTATCATTTATAACCTTGGATTTTGAATTCACATTGGCACTGGTCTGAATATGGCGTGTAAAGTTGCCCTTCTAGAGTGGGCCTTACAGTCATTTATCGAAGGTGAGCTATGAGTAGGTATAAATAAAACCCCCTCAATGCTTTCATTAATTTTCAGATTTGGAATAATTATTTCACAAAGCAACTGAAGCTAGGATTTTCTGCATTCTTTTTTCTCTCTTATTACCTGCTTTTGCTTCTTCCAAGTGGTATTTTTTATATTATACAGGGTGTCACGAAAGGTTTGTTACAAACTTCTAGGGATGGTAGATCTCGTAAAAATAAAACTTTTTTCTTAATAAACATGTGTCCGGAAATGCTTCGTTTTCCAGATATACAGGGTGGCCCAAATTTGAGCCTCATCATTGGGATCTCGGTAACCGTAAGAGATACGGCGTCGGTTGAATTTTGGCAAAGTTGCGCAATTTTATGACCAATAGAATACCGTTTTGAAACTAGAAAGATTCCGAATACTTCCGGAGATATTCGGAAAAAACCAAAATTTTGAAAAATCGTTTTTTTCTTCCCGGGCTTATTTGAAAAGCAATTTTAAAATAAATGTCACTTCATCATTGTCAATTCTCCCCCTTTAGAAGATGGTGGTACTAAATTTAAAATTCGACGTTTTTTCTTCAGGCGGCCATCCTTAACTTATGTTTTTTAAATACGAACCTAGATTTTTTATTTGCGATTTTGTCATCTTTGGGCATCCTAAAGCAGATACTGTTTATAATTTTTCAATAACACGGTGAAAAAACAGGTCCGTATTTGAAGAACGTCGGATTTCAAATTTAATACTGCCATGTTGTAAAGAAGAGAAAGTGACAATGGGAATGTGAAATTAGTTTTTCAAAATCTTTTGAAATGAAATCAGGAAAAAATTTAAGAAAAACGAGAAATTCATGTTTTTTTCGTATAGTTTTCATTTTTTCCTGATTTTATTTAAAAAGATTGTGGAAAACTAATTCCACCTTGCCATTGTCACTTTCTCTTCTTTACAAGATGGTGGTATTAAATTGAAAATCCACTGTTTGGTTCCTCTGAAATCATCATTAATTTTTTTTTTTTTTTAAATACAAACCTGCTTTTTTTGCTGTGTTATTGAAAAATTATAAACAGTATCGGTTTCAGAATGCGCAAAGATGACAAAATCGCAAATAAAAAATCCAGGTCCGTATTTAAAAGAAGGAAGTTGAGGATGGCCGCCTGAAGACGAAACGTCAAATTTTAAATTTAGTAGCACCATCTTCTAAAGGAGAAAAAGTGACACCGATGAAGTGACATTTATTTTAAAATTGCTTTTCAAATAAGCCCGGGAAAAAATAAAAACGATTTTACAAAATTTTGTTTTTTTCCGAATATCTCCGGAAGTATTCAGAATCTTTCTAGTTTCAAAACGGTATTCTATTGGTCATAAAATTCCGCAACTTTGCCATAATTTAACCGACCCCATATCTCTTACGATTACCGAGATCCCAATGATGAGGCTCAAATTTGGGCCACCCTGTATATCTGGAAAACGAAGCATTTCCGGACAAATGTTTATTGAGAAAAAAGTTTTATTTTTACGTGATCTACCATCCCTAGAAGTTTGTAACAAACCTTTCGTGACACCCTGTATACTTAAGTAGTTATGTAGGTATACATATACGATTCGAAATTTTGTTAGTTTATATGATTACTGCAGATGCAGCTTTCATTTATTTTCAATATCACCCTAATAATATGTAGGTATTTAGGTATCAACAATCAATAAAAGTTTGATTTAAAAAATACCCAATGTCTTTTTATTTTTACCTCTTCCCAAATGCAATATAATAGAACCATAACATTTTTAATAATCCTTAGGCCCAGTTGTACAATCTTGGTTCAAAACAGAGTTCAGCTGAACTCGACTGGTACTTGAACTCCCCCATTTAAAACGCATTGCTGTCAAAAATGATAGAATTTGATTAATAGCTGACAGCAATATATTTTAAATGGAGAAGTTCAAGTACCAGTCGAGTTCAGCTGAACTCTGTTTTTAACCAAAATTGTATAACTAGGCCTTATAAGGTTATATTGTTATGATTATAAGAGGAATTTTTGGTGGTCAAAAAACACAACAAGTGTTCTACACTTCAAACGTGAGCCTGTTTATTGTCATGTATTTTTATAATTGTTTTGTATACTTATTGTATTTTTCTGAACGATAATAAACATTATTTATTATTATTTATTAAAAAATATTAATGGTATAAAGATATTCATCTGTTATTATGAAAATGTTTATATTATCCCTTATAAAATATATTAAGGTTTAATATACAATTTAATAACAATCATCAAATATTTATTGACAGTTAAAAAACCGTTTTTTAGCCATTCAAAACTATTTTATTTTCTACTTTACTATTATAGATCCATAATACCTAGGAAACGAAATACGTTAACACACCTATAACAACCTGATCCATAACGCCCGCTTATAATACCTTAAGGTGTTTTTGTTGTTGTTGTTCTATTAATTTGCACTTTACCCTAGGCAGCCACTAAATGTCTGACCGAAAATAATTTTCGGTCTAGCCAGGATTCGAACCCGGTCTACCATCAACGTTTCCCATGTAGTCCAGCGCGTTAACCCACAGGACCACCACCGTTGCCTTGCCTTATGAGATGTTTATAGATATATTAATGTATTTCGTTTCTATGTACAGGTCGCAGGTACAGGTACAGGTCACAGGTACAGGTACATGTCAAAATACAAAACAATATTCTGTCACACAAGTTTAACTGATTTTGTTAATAACAAATTGATGAAAAAACATTGTGTCGAGTAGAAAATAAAGCATTGTATGCACCACGGGGATTTCAAGATTATAATGCCCTTCAGGCGAAATATATCCCTCGGGCCATAGGCCCTCGGGCTAGTTTCGCCTTCGGGCATTATAATCTACATAATCCCCTTGGTACATAAATAGCTATTATATCCTACTGAAATATTACAACCATATAATACCTTGGTTACGATAATCATAAACAGGGTCTTAACTCCCTTGGGAGTTAAGGATATCAAAACTCCCAAGGGAGTTAAGGATTTCTATAACTCCCGCTTTTACCTTGAATAGGTAAAACTTTCAGAAAAAATAGAAATTTTGACAAAAAAGCTTTATTGAAAACTGCAATTCATCTTTTATTCTGAAAATCTATTAACATCATTTTTATAACGCTGTGTCTAGCCTCCCGGCACCGGTATTCATATGAATCCCGGTTGTGACGTGATTTCAATGGCGCCTGGCGCCATCAAGGACCGCCGGGATTTATCGTAGATACCGGCTATTGGATTCAAAATTCAAAGTCGTGTGTCTCTTGCTGCTTGAGGCTGTTATTTATTCCGGAATAGCTTTTGTGTATAATTGTTTCTTGTTGTGATATTGGTATTAGAGTGGTGAGTACTTCGTTAATCCAATTTTCGTAGTAGTCGTTTAAGAAGGGAATAGTATGGTTTATTTTCATTTATTATTCAGGACTATAGCTTTTTAAAAGCCTGTATTGTTTCGGACGTAAATGTGCGATATTGCCACGTTTAAAAAAGCGGAAATACTAAGTATGAGGTATAGTTCAATTGAAAATCAATCTTTCAATAACAAAATATAGGCAGATTACTGCTAATTTTAGGAACTTCTTCTCTGATACTGCATGGCAAGTTGTACAGAATGGAGTTTCAATGAAAAGGCTTCGGAACGAATGGCTTTGTGTAGTGTGCAATTTACAAATTATCAGAAATCAACCTGATTGTATTATGTGCAATTTATGCCTTCTATGGAGACATATTAAATGTTCAACGTTAAAGAAAATACCAAAATTTTCTAAAAATTGGATTTGTTTCGAATGTAAGATTTGTATGAACAATTGATACCAAAAAGTTGTGATTACTTTAGAATTCATACTTATGTTCGAATTATAGTAATTATACCCATTTATTCTATGTAGGTAGGTACATACATATTATAATAATAAGTCATAATTTTATTTCCCATAAATAAAAGCTTATCGTGCCCGACTTTGTTTACTATTTTTACTCTACATAATAATTCTGCTCCAATACCAATGAAAATAATAATTATTACCATCTTGTATAGCAATAGCCGGTATCTACGATAAATCCTGGCGGTCCTTGATGGCGCCAGCCGCCATTGAAAACACGTCACAACCGGGATTCACATGAATACCGGTGCCGGGAGGCTAGACACAGCGTTTTTATTATTACAAATAATAAATTTACAATTATCAAAATTGCCCTGGAAACTAATTCCATTGCTGCAATTTAATTTTTTATCTGTATGGCTGTTGCTGTTACACATTTGAATTGATGTGCCTGCTTCTTCTGATCGTAAGGTAGAGAGCATCCGTGCCGTTTTATTTTTTAGCTCGATACTATCGGCTAAATATCCTTCCGCCACTGTGGAACTTTTCCAGCCTCCATGCCTTTTTAGGTTTGTCATAGTTGCACCTGCATCTGCTAGCGCAGTGGCAGAGGTGCGACGAAGACAGTGTCCCGTAAAAGAAGACGGGTCTGGCAATTTTAAATATGATGCAATTTTATGGCGGTAGTTCAAAAAAAATCTTCCGATACCCTTAGGTCGTAATGACATGTAAAATTTCAATAAAGGCAGAGCAACGAACTCATCCTCATCAACAATCGTGAATTTCCTTGGTATACCCGTTTTACTGTCTGGTATACTCACGACCATAACCTTGTCCCGGTCCTCTATATCACTTAGCTTCATATTAAGAAGTTCCTGAGTTCTGCACCCTCCAAAATATCTCATTATTAAAACTATCTGCAAAACAGGTAATGAATACATACACAAAGAAATATAGAAATTAGGTTATTTACCTTATTTAATAAATGCATGTCGTTAGGGGCTTCTTTGAGGAACTTGGCGATATGCTGAGGGGACAATACCGCAGACTTTTTCGGTCTATAACCTTTGCTCTTTCGTTTCAAAAAGGCCTCCAATTCGTTGAATTTTTTAAAATCTTGTTTTTCGTGTATAGATAGCATGGATTTTAACATTGACCATTTAGTCCACAAAGAATTTGGACTAAAACTTTCTGACTGCAATAAATAAGGCACAATTGCTTACTAAACAAAACATAATGAACAATAGTTACCGTACCATTTCTTGAAAATATGCCAAGAGAACAGTTTCGTCACTATTCTTTGCTGGGATACCTTTTTGTTCCAGCCAGTGAATATATTTTCTATATTCTTTATTATATAATAGAGTCTCACTCTTGGCTGGGACCAACGTTTTTCTTGCTTCCTCGGCTTTTTTCATTATCTCGTCTATTATAATAAGCTTTTTGTTCACCAAAAACGCGTTTCAACGACAAAATGTGACCTTTATCAATTATAAATAACAAGCCATAGTTACAGTGCCTCTGCCATAGTAACAAACAATAGAACTTGTACCATAGACAAAGCTAGTACCTACTACTTGTCTATGACTTGTTTGTACCAGCAAGGCACATAGAAACGCACCGGAATTCTCATATAGGTTAGTCAATGGTTAATTTCTTTATAAAAATGGACAAAATAGAATAAATTCAGTAGGATATAAAATTATCTATGTACCACGGGAATTATCAGGTGTAAATACCCACGGGCAATTAGTGTCCCTCGGGCCAAAGGCCCTCGGGACACAAAATTTGCCCTGGGGTATTAACACCCTCATAATTCCCTTGATACATAATAGTAGATTATACCACGAGTCAATAATGATAGCTATTATTCCCGAGGATTATTACGAACTGAGCCGCGTTAGCGGCGAGGAAGTAACATTCCGAGGGAATAATAGCCATTATTGCGAGTAGTATACTCTACTTTATTTACGACAAATTAATTTATTTGAGATTTTCAATGAACAAATTTCATCCCTCTCATAATTTTCAATACAAATCCACAAGTACTACACGTTTGACACTGACACTTTTGTGGAATAATGACCATTAATCCCGCTACTCGTCATTAATCCCTGGAGGAATAACATATGTCATTATACTGCCAAAATCACAAATATAATACGCACATTATACATTAGTCGTAAATAAATAACTATTATTGTGACTTGTTTATAAATTTTTAATGGTCTTTTGGCGATTTCAGTAAATTGGTCTATCAATGGCAGCAAAGTAGTAGTTTATAAAGTGACTTTTATAATGGTATTTACAGCGCTTTTCTGTCCCCATTTTATACGATATTTTTATTAAGGTTATTAAGATTTTTATAATGGTCTAAAATTGAATCTCTCAGTGCACGAGCAAAAAAACTACTAAGAGCTAATTTAACATTTTCTGTAAAAATAATTTTACCTGAATTATATCCAAAAAACAAAACTGAATTGAGGTCTTGTCAACAAATGTTCCATTAGATAAACCTTCTTCTTTTAGGTCCTCAAACTTATTTATCCAGAACTGGGCATTTTGTTTGCGCAAATGACACCACCATGATTCAATTCTTTGATTAGCAGTACCTTTTCCGTAAAGAAATGCAGGCTTATGATTTTCATTTGTTAAAAAGAGGTTTCTGAGAGTTTTTTGCATTTGTTCAACTATTCCATTATCAGTACCCATATCACTTCTAACAGTTCGTGGGCAGCCTAATAATGATTTTAACAAATTCAAATAATATCCAGCAATTACTTTGGGATCATTTGATGTACGACCTGCGTGTAACCAAATAATGTGCCTTGAAAATCCATCAATAGCGCCATTTATACAAATTCCATAAAATTTCAGTTTGTCATAAGAATCCATATGCCAAACACTATTTGGGCCATCATTTACATATTGCCTGCGACGGAGTCTTTTTCGCTTGCACAAAGCTACACCTTGAAGGTCTAACAAAAGTAATAATTCTCTGACCACATCTTGAGTGACCGTGAAACTCTTTTCAATGCACTTCAAATGCATCCAACGGTATCCGTGCAACTGTCCAGATTTACCCAATTGTTCTTCTATGAAAGCTGCAACCTCTTCGAGATTTGAAAAATGTTTCCTTCTGTAAGTATAAAAGCTGATTTTTTAAAATACGTTTCAGTGTTCTTGGGTGAACATAAATGTTATGAATATTTTGTAAAAGTTGTATAATTTCTTGATGATGAAGTCCCAAGAGAAAATACTTTTCAATCAGTTCGTTGCGTAAATCCATTTTAATTCCAAACCTAGAACAAAATCATGCATAACTCTGAAACTAGGCTGTTTCAAATTGGGGCCCTTTGGCTTTTTTGGTTTACTTAACCTAAATTTTTCGAGAAAACAAGGATGAAAACCACATTTTCATAAGTCAAACAGTTGTTGAACTAAGAGTGCGTTTTGCATTTTCGGAAATAGAGGGTGACAAAACTGTGTGACAAAATTGAATATTTTTCAAAAACTGTTAATTTAGAATTCCAGTTTCAATTTCAAAGTTTTTTAAAGTCCTTCTGGTACCTACAACATGGTAAGTATCTTTGCATTCGACGTTTCGTCTCAAGTAAGTAAGCATACTATCATCAAGTTGCTTTTTTTTTAAACAAACCTTAAATGAGTATTTTTGTTTTTTTTTTCTTTTGATATTTTTAATAAGAATGATTTTGTAAAACTAAATTTACACCCTTGTGAACTCCTGAAATAAAAATAACATATAACAAGCATGAGCACTGGCGTATCCAGGGGGGGCAAAGGGGGCAATTGCCCCCCCCCCCCCAGAGCAACATTTTTTTATTACTTTTATTTTTTTTAAATTTGTTAAATAATAAAAAAATTAATTCAAAAATGTATCGAAATTAGTTTAATAAATAATACTTTTTTCAACTACATGGACAGGTAGCTTTTTTGTAAGTAGAAACTGTTCAGTTGTACGCTGTGCTTGACAATCAGGGAATAAAAGTCAAAATACTAGTTTTATATTCAGCGTAATGTATATTACTAGCTGCCTAGCGCTTTCGCCTTTGAGCCATCATTACTCATCAGGGCTCAGACTTTGTCAAAAGGCGACACCACCAAAAACACAAAAACCGTCTTTCTCAAAAGCAATAATAATTGTCTGGTAAAGCTGGCAATGCAAAAGGTACCTTTATGATTCAATCTTTCTGTGGAATATACAGGGTGCTGCAATTTGGAGTGTTTTAACAAGAAAAACATACTTCTAGACCAGATAGAGGAAAATTGACTTAGGTGTCATGGAATTAATTTTCGAGAAACGTCGATTGCCAAAAACCATATCACGATATCTTCAATAGTACCATCGATACAGGGCGATTTTCGATTTTCCCCAATTATGAAAAATAGCTATAAGTTTTTCATTTATCAATTTTTTTTATTTCTGTAAAAACATTATGGAGACACTTTTTTGAGCACAGTCCAGTAGCGGACTCAGTTTTTTTCTATACCGCTCCGGTTTCGAGATATCGACCAAAGTTCGATATTTTCAAATGAAATAACCTATATATTAAAAGCTCATTGGATAGCTTTGTTTTTGCTGATTTCAATGATATAAAGTTCGATAGGTTTATCTCTAACCGTTTTCGAGAAAAAAAATTATATCTATTTTTGTCATAAGAAACAATGCGTTAAAAGAGACCTTCCTCATTTTCCTTACACATATAAAATCCTTTTCTAACACATTGATCCTTACGACAAAAACAGATATAATTTTTTTTCTCGAAAACTGTTAGAGATAAACCTATCGAACTTTATATCATTGAAATCAGCAAAAACAAAGCTATCCAATGAGCTTTTAATTTATAGGGTATTTCATTTGAAAATATCGGACTTTGGTCGATATCTCGAAATCGGAGCGATATAGAAAAAAACTGAGTCCGCCTCTGGATTGTGCTCAAAAAAGTGTCTCCATAATGTTTTTACAGAAATAAAAAAAAATTGATAAATGAAAAACTTATAGCTATTTTTCATAATTGGGGAAAATCGAAAATCGCCCTGTATCGATGGTACCATTGAAGATATCGTGATATGGTTTTTGGCAATCGACATTTCTCGAAAATTAATCCCATGACACCTAAGTCAATTTTCCTCTATCTGGTCTGGAAGGATGTTTTTCTTGTTAAAACACTCCAAATTGCAGCACCCTGTACAATCATTTAGCTCCTATTGCGTGACCTATATTTCAAATTTGGGCTTAATCCCTCGAAAGCCGCAGGAGTTATAAAGAAAAAACTAAAATATATATTGAACTTTCAACACCCTGTAGATCGGTAACGAAGCGTTTGCAAACCCATGTTTCTTTGAAATTTTATTAAGTCATAAGAAAAAACCAAAGAATCGCCCCCTTCCGTTTGTACATGCATGATATTTAGTATTAAGGAACACCCTGTATATACCAATATTTATATTTTAGTTATTCCAGAGTGATTTTTTTTAGTAATTTAAAGTATTTATTATACAAGGTGGGGCACGAAAAATTTCCCACCCAGGTTTTCTCACGTGTTAGGTGATCAATCAAAAATCGCTCGAACACGTCAATTTTTGTTTTTCGGGGGACACATTTCATTGGTATTTTCACTCCCTACCTGTCAACCCCTAAGCGAGGGAGACAGGTACCTCCAAAATTTCAAATGCAAAAGGGGGTCGAGTGATACGTCATTTGGTAGCTATTTTTGTAAAAATTATATCCTCAAAATTTTAATTTGCTACTATTTTCTCTACCGAAATGGCAGTGTGTCAAAGTTAGGTGAAAATATCAATAAATAAAGTCCCTCAAAAACAAAAAGTGATGTTTCCTAGCGATTTTTGATTTATCACCTGACACCTGAGAAAACCTGGGTGGGAAGTTTTTCGTGCCGCACCCTGTATATCTTTAACTTTTGAATTAAATTTTAGTTTGATTTTATGTTGAAAGTCGATTTCTCAGGAAAACAAATAATTCCAGTTATTAACCTCTTATCGTTATAATGAGCAGCCCAAAGATTTTTTCAGTGGTGGCTGGCAGGCTAATATTACGGAACCATAGCACTACCGCCACTACCTTATTTTTCTGTGAAAATCTTATATATTTTATCCTACAAAAGTATTGAGAGAAGCGAGCGAATACTCGATTGTGCGGTTTTGAAGACTTTTGGGCGTGGCACCTCAAAAAAAATTGGCGGACGTACCAGGTTTGCCCCCCCCCCAGAACCTCAGGTTGGATACGCCACTGAGCATGAGCATGCCATACATAAGCATAGCAGGATTCTTGTTGCAACTTTTAGGTACTTATGGCCGTTTCCACCAACTATTTTAGGGAAGCCTTAACGATAAGTCGTCCTTAAACTGACATTTTTCCATGGAAGACTATGTCGTTTGAAGGAATACTTATCATTAAAGGGCGAAAAAAATCAAAAATGTTTAAAAAATGGGCATTTTAATGCATGCTATTTCTATTAAAAATGCAAGATTTTTCCAAATTATGCTTAAAATATAACTCAAAACTAAACATTAAGCATAACATTATCTGACAATACTGGTAAAAAAAATACTTCAGGCATTTTTTAGCCAAAAAAACTTCACAGAACAGCAATCTATTATCACAACTATTTTAAGCAGATTAAAGTTTGAAATAAAACCTACCCAGCGAACAAAATGCATCATTTTTAGGTACAAAGTCGTATTAGCTGCAATAAAACTAGGTAATTATTCGGCCCTTTTATTCAGGTCTGTACCAACATGTACCATAATAGGGTACCTGTGCTGAAAATGGGTTCAAATTTGAAAGGAATTTTTAAAATTTCGACTTATAACTCGAAATTTTATAGTAAAATTTCGTGATATAATTCGAAATTTTGAAATTTTAAACAAAGCCGAGGGCCTCTGGCCGGAGGATTCGTAAGTCGCCCGAGGGTTTATATCTATTAGTACCCGTGGTGCATACAAATATTTATGTCATACCAGTACAGTATTGTCTTTTTTTACCTTAGATACCATCTACATAATTCATCACTTTATGCCCGTGCGGGCATAAAGTACACATTCTGGCCCGCGCGGGCATAATGTACCATTCTAAACATCAGGTTGACAATTAAGCCGCAAATGACGCCGTTTGCGTGTACGCAAAGTTGCATCGATTTCAAATAAAGTCCCCCTGGTATGACATAAAAGTTTTTATGTCATACCAATACATTATTGTGCTTTTATACCTTAGATACCATCTATATAATTCATTACTTTATGTCCGTGCGGGCATAAAGTACACATTATGGCCCGCGCGGGCATAAAGACGTAAAAAACAGTTTTCAATTAACTTATTCTTTATTAACAAAATATAAATTAACGCTTATAATAGTTATTTGTGTACCAAGGCCGTAAAGTTGATCTTTTTTGGCCGAATCAGAAATTTGCGGCCGAGGCGCAGCCGAGGTCAAGCAAATTTCAGGTGAGGCCAAAAAAGATCATTCGGCCGAGGTGCACACAAATTTTTTTAGGCGTGTTTGTTCTTGAAAAAAGAATAAAATTCAACAGTAGCTTTAAACTTTATTGATCAAATAAATAATCCAGCAAAGATAGGTAGATACACAATTATTAATAACAAAAACTACGGCAAAGAGAGTGTGATTATAGAAAAAATTGTTTATTTTCACCAAAGTAGCGGCCGTAAAGTA